ATCTGCAGGAGGAGATGGTCTCCTGCTTTGTTTTGAGCAGGTAGCAGAATGTTACCATGGTGAAAAACGCCTTCTTTTAAAGAGTCTGGCTGTGAAATCACACAGCCCAAATATATTTTCCTCACTCCGTTCTGTGGGAGGGAGTCACCTTTCCGTGGGCAAAATGCTCCATCAAAGGTTTGGCCTCAACCCTCCTTCTTTTCCCAGGAGAACCGTCACTCAATCCTGCCCTCTGATTGGTTAAGAGAAATACAATCTAGCCAGAATGTCTTTGTACCAATAGCAGAAAGATACCGGGTGCAGTCCCACCATTATTCAGTGCTGACACAGCGTTGTGGAGATATCCCTGGCTGTCTAGTTCACTGGTGGAGCCTAATAGCAGGATGAGAATCTAATCCCTGGCAAAGGATGAGAGGCTGCCGCTGCCCCCCCCCACCCCCCTCGCTGCTTTCCTCCAATCAAATATGCTGCATAAAGGTTTTTTTTTTTCTTCTTCTACCCTTCGCAGTAAAGTTTTGTAGAAATGAGTCCATCTGCGCTCTGAACTGTGGATTACAGAGGAGTGAAGTATAAGAAGGCAGCCCTGGAGGTTGGTGGTAAATGTTAGCACAGAGGAGAAACTGTTGTTTTACTGCCTGTCCCTGACACTCGGCCTCCAATTCATCTCACTCAAAAGCTGCGAGGCTGTGTTTACCCCGAGGCAACTCTTTTCTGCTTCTCCCTCTGCCCCCCCCACGCCCCTCCTTTTCATGCCGTCTTTACAAGCATTACTGGATGATCATCAAGGATCGCCATTTAAACTTTGAAACCCCCGGTTTTGTGTGTTTAGTTATAACTATCCAGACTTACCCTCCGGCAAAGGAATCTCAGAGTGGAGTGGAGTGGAGTGATCTACTTGTTCCCATACGTAAACCTCTGAAAAAAGGCTTAAGAAAGTCGTGTTGAGCAAAGGAATTTTGAAGACCGTTGTTAATGACACAGTGGTCTTTAATCATGAGGGAAAACTTTTATAGCGGTGAACGTGTAATGAAGTTCTTAAAAAATAAAGAAAAAAAAAGATCTCGACCGCTTATGAACGCCTCGTGTGAACTCTTTCCAAGCAGGATGATTTATGAAAAGACTTTTGCAGACACTGAGACGTGTCACTGTTGCACAACGTATCTGGACGGTCACATGGTGTACGTTTTCTGGCGTATCGGTATGGACACAGATCAGTTCTTTTAAGGCGCTCAGAAACCTAACTGGACGCAGATTGTCTTTGTAGAGAAATGCTGTTTAGAAACAAAAAGCAGAATGGGTGTGGTGCGAGTGCCAGTGAACTGACACATGGACTTGTTTGTTGTCAGATCTGATGTCCTGCATTTGATTCTCTGGATTTCTCCAATCAGACCGGCCACAGGGAAAAAGAAATGTCAACATTTTCTCAGGGTTTCCATGGAGCTCCTGACTTGTTGTGGAAATCAAACTGTGGACACCGAATTCCTGCCATATGTTCTTCTGTATCAGTAGTGCATAATGGCACTAGGAAACCTGATACGTTTTGCTTCTTTCAACCTTCTTTCAACTCTCCAATGTTTTGATGAGCAGTCTGGAATTTCACTGCGTTGGTTTCACTGCTTATTCATCAAACCAAACAGAAAGTCTTGTTATCATTTGGCTGCACGGCCTTTGTATTTTGCCTCCACAGATCTACGCGTTCACAGTTTTTGGTACCGCTGCTGTGAGACCCGTTGCATAAGGCAAGGCAGGGTTGATTAACTCCTTCAAGTGCTCAGATCGTGGCCTCGGGCTGCAGGAAGAGGAAGTAAGGCGGTGGAGGCATTGTGACTGCACTCATTGACTCCGAGACTGACACTAAGAGAAGAGGCTTTTGAGAATAAAATAACAATAATAACACGTGCTACTCTTCTAATGGGTAAACGGAGCTGTTAAAAGGTGGCAGGGTTAAATGGATGCAGAGCACCAGTAATTGCTCCCAGCCTGACGTGACTCCGCCCTGAACAGACCCTCTGGAAAGCCGACATGGAGTCAAAGGGAGTCGCTGTGGTCAGATAAAGGCAGACACACGCCCGACCCTCCCTTCGCCTCATGTCTGACTTTAAGAGACTGATCTAAGATTTAGCCCAATCACTGGCTGTGTTCCATGAAATAAAGTCAGCGATCTCTCAGGAACGACGACGATAACATCAGTGCTTGCCCCTGAAGAGGAGACGTCAGTGGCTGTGGTGATGGTCGCCCATGGTCGCGCTGCTCTGCTCTGCTCTGTAAAGTCATGACAGGTCTTCCGTCTGAGCTCTCAAGTCAGCGACCCAACTTAGACAAAACACACAGTATCAGGATGAAAACGCAAACATTCCTGCGGACCACCCTGCACCACCCCCCCTCCCCCACCTGAACAGACACGTGCTCACAGGCACACGTAGTTGCTGGACAAAACAGAGTGGCAGGAAAAGGCCTGGCTGACGGTGCACTCATTGTCTTCCTTCATACTAAGGCTGAGACATGAGATACATTTCTGACCTTTGTCCTGCTTAGTCCTCTTCCTGGGCCCGGACAGTCGCACAGTCTACCTCGCTTCCAGGCTACGTGTGGGGATCTACAAATAACTGTGCAGATTGTTATCGCTGTGTGACTCCGGTTTAAGCAACCAGCCATTTGTTCTTTATGTTTGGATGTACTGTATAGTTGAGGGTGAATTTACCTTGATGATTTGTGACCTGGGAGAGAACACAGGCCCGTAAACAAGTTGGGGCTGAGTTCTTTGTTAGGCCTGGCCGCGCTGCAGTAAAAGCTGAGCTCAGAGCGGAGGAGCTGGAGTGTGGAATTCACTAATGGCACATGCATGGTGGGGCCCCTGAAGAGAGGGGGTCATTTCAGCCATCGGTGTGTGCGCAAACACACAGAGAGTCTGTCTGCAACTTCCCTTTACTCCCTCCCTCACTCCTCCACTCCCAGAAACACACAGAGCGTTGAACCAGCAGCCGTTGTGTCTGTGGTCTTGTCAACTTTTTAACCCATCTTTGTTTAAACTTTAATTTCCAGAATGCCTCAGGAGAAAGGTTAGTTTGGGAGGAGGTGAGACGTTTTGTCACTGCGTGGATCTGCTGGGCTCCACCTTGGAGGCGTTTGTTAATGGAGCCTACGGTCATTAAGGCCCGAGAGCAGAACGACTGAAAGGAATGGGGCCACAGGCCCCGGCTTTAAATCCTCTTTGCCAATAGACGCTCTGAAGCAAAATAATGGCATCACTCTGTGTGTGAGTTAATGGGAGCTGATAGCATGAAGGCTGGGGGGTCAGCAGGTCACAGGCTTGTGCTAAGTTGTCAGGGAGCTGAATGCTGTCTCTGGGCCCACAGCGGGGGAAGAGCCCGGCGGAGGGGGAGTGAGACCCCCTGCCTAGCTTGTGCCATCACCACCCCCCCCGCCCCCCACACCCCCACTCTTGCGGAATGTGAGAAAGATGAGGAAAGAGGGACCGAGATCATGGAATGATCATACTTCAGTTTTTATGTGCAGCGTGACGTGACAGCTATGCAGCATGGAGTGTAGCAGCCCCTGAGAGCAACCAGTGCTGGTGTGTGTGTGTGTGTGAGTGTGAGTGTGTGTGTTCAGCATGGTGGAGATAGAAGTCTACCCAGGGAGCAGTAACTCACTTTGGAGTGCTGAGTGCTGTCACTGGAAAAAGTTCACAGACTCCAGCCGTGTGAAGTGAATGAACATCCTCATTTGCTCGGCACAAACGCGCAGGGACAAGATGCTAATGAAGCTGCCGTGGAAAAAGAAGGGGATTTCTCTTGATCGAAGCCGGCTTTATTTACACACTGACTGTCAAAGTACGGCCTTCACATCCCCTCTGTGAGAGAGAATGTGAGACGACTTTTTTTTTTTTTTTTTTTTTTTGTCAACGTGTAGTTTCAGCCCAGTTGCCGGTTTGAAATATGGAATTGATTTCAACCGTTAATGTGATTTGTTGTGAATCTGCATGTGTGAATAGCAGTGACTGAGTCTGAGGTGCTTGCCGAGACTAATTATTGCAGTGCCCTCTTGAGGCAGAGCAGGGAAATTCAGTCTACAATCTGACCTCACTGTACCCTCCAACACCGGGTATGTACAGGATATGTATAGAATGTGTGTGTGTGTGTGTGTGTGTGAGAGAGAGAGAGAGAGAGAGTCAGTCGTGCCAGTGTGTGTTTTAGATGGATGTGCATGCAGTGGTATTTATACAAGGCTTAGATTTCAATACAGTGCTCCGTCAGTATTTATAGTGTAGCCATCTGCTGCGAACAATAAAAAGAGATTAGTTTATCCCTTAAAACTCAAGCCTTCCTTTTTTACTGGCCCGGTTTGCTTCTTTTTTTTTTTTACTGCTGCCAAAGAGGTTGTGTTTTAGACCCTCAAAAATGTGACCATTGATTTTGATGAAACTTTGAGGTGAGAATCTCAAGTCCTGGATGAAACGTGACCTTGGCACAAATATTTTTGAATGTGATTTATTGAAGGCTACATACATGCTGCACTGTTTTTTTGTTTTTATAATTAGTATTTAATTGAATATAACCTTTTGTCTACAAAGGGCTGTGTTCCTAAGAAGCTACTAGCTCCTCCTGCTGTTTGGTTTTGAGTAATCTGTCCGTTTGTGGGTGGACGTGTTTAGCAGTGAACAGTATGGCCAGTTGGTATTAGCTTAGCTACTCCAACATGATGACTGGTCTATGGCGATCTTTAAAGATAGCCTCTTAGCCTTCACTTGAACAGCAATGTTTGCGATGATAATTTAGCTGTGGTGTTTTCACGTCTGTACTTTTTGTTTCATCATTAGATTAATTTTTAAACATTTTCCGTATCCTGTTTTACTATTTTTTCACCAGCTGGCGTTATTCAACGCCCAACTGTTGTCTTTTTTATTTCCAGTGAACAGCCACTTATATCATCACTTGTTTTCTGGAGTTGCAAAAAACGTTTGTTTTAAATCGTTCTTTTCGTCTTGCCTCCTCCTCTAGATGCCAGTATGTCGCCTGATGCCCCGAAGCAGAGCCACTGGTGTAACGTGGCGTACTGGGAGCACCGCACACGCGTGGGACGCCTCTACACAGTGTACGAGCACTCCGTCAGCATCTTCTATGATCTACCTCAGGGCACGGGCTTCTGCCTGGGCCAGCTCAACCTGGAACACCGCAGCAGCACTGTTCAGCGCACAAGAGGCAAAATCGGCTATGGCATCCTGCTCAGTAAGGAGCCGGATGGTGTGTGGGCGTATAACCGCAGCGAACATCCCATATTTGTCAACTCCCCCACTCTGGACATGCCTAACAGCAGAACTTTAGTAGTGCGAAAGGTGATGCCGGGCTACTCCATTAAGGTATTCGACTACGAGCGCTCATGTCTGTTGAGGCACACCACTGACGCTGACCTCCTGGACGGACCCTACGACCCTAACAGCGTGCGAATCAGTTTTGCCAAGGGATGGGGCCCTTGCTACTCCAGACAGTTCATCACCTCCTGCCCCTGCTGGTTGGAGGTCCTCCTCAACAATCACAGATAACACAGATGGACCCAACAAACTATCCCAAATATCATCTACCTAGATTTAATATAAAGTTTTATATATTATATGAAATATATATTATACTTGTAAATACGGAGTCATTTTTACAATGTAATTATTTATGTATGGTGCAATGTGTATATGGACAACAGTGGAAAAAAACAGATAATGCACTTTGGCTTTATATATATTTGTATATGTATATGTATATATATATATATACATACATACATATATATGTATATGTATATAAATATATATATATATATGTAAGCAATTTTTCAGTACCAACATGAGAAATTATACAAGAAAATTAGGGTTGGCCTGGATTTGGTGTATAGTTTTCATATACTATTAATATCCAGACAAAAAGCTAACACCGTTCACACATTGGTAATAAAGTATTGGCATAATAACTGTTGCTTTGGTCTGAATCATTAGCTTTTCCTGTGTTTCATTCACATTTTCTCTTGAGGTCAACACGTTAGAAAATCACATTTACTGGGATTTTCTTAAAATCCCAAAGACAGTTGTAGTAATGTAAATACTACATACTAAAAACTGTGTTTTTACTTCATTTTCAAAACGTCTCATCTGCCAGTTTTCCCACAGTCACCCAGGTCGTTACGTCCTCGGACGTTTAAAGAACCGCTGCCTTCTTCTAAACATTTTAGAATGTCCATAATAGGTGTTGGTTTATAGGAGTAAATTTAGAAACCCACGGTGTTTATGTTTGGGCTGCAGCTACAGTAACAAACCTCCGACTGATCCACATGTCCTTGAGGTCCTGAGGAGCCTCAGTAATAAGCACCAAGATAAGACGGTGCAGCGGAGGACAGCGGAGGAGGAAATGATGGAAGTGCTCAGGCTCAGCAGTTCAACCGTCATTCCAAAGGTGTTCCTAAGTCAGCACATCATCGGTGGCTCGTGGTCGCCAGTCTCGGGCCTCCACAGCCAGCCTGTCTCACAAAGGACGTTGTTATACTGTAACTGACCAGCGATGCGGCACCATGAAACCAGTGCTGTGATACTGGAATGTATGCAGAGAAACCAAGAACTTTTACAAGCCTACTGGAATCTTAAAAACTACAGCCAAGGTGGATGTGGTTGAGCTGGCTTCCTTCATAATTGCTGGTGTTGGGTTGTCAGATTGGCGGTGGTGGTAGTGAGGAGGGGAGGGGGGAGGACGCCGCTCTGCCAACAGTCAGCAATAGAGGCATTCAGTAACACACACTGATCCTGGGTCAGTGAGTGCTCCGCTGTTACGAAGACATTTCTTTTTGAAAAGGAGCCTCCGACAAACATCAAAGGGCTGCACATGCTCTCTGTGAAGGGTCGCCTCGACGACCTGTCCACTAGACGTGGAGGGAAGTTTGTCATCAAAAATACTCTTTTCTAATCAGGTGTGCTGCTGAGCACAGCTCCTCCTCCCCCCCCCCTGTCAATGAAAGCTCAGACAGCCTCCTCCAAGCCCCGCTGACTGTCTGGAGCCAAGACTGTGTAGAGTTCAAACCAGAGAGGAGTGGCTCCACTCCGCCTCTGCCTCTGCTCTCTTCCCTACAACTGGGGGCCATTATCCTGCTCCTTTGTGTCTCTGTTATGGGAAAAGGTCCCACATCACCAGCAGAGAGGAATTGGCAAACAATTATATGGGGTGGACACAAAAGCCATGACCGAGGATATGAGAGGGGGTCTAATTAAACAGGTCTGAGGGGAGGCCAAGTGAGGATCCATATCTACTGAAGCCGCGTCCCCGGGAAGGCGCCGCTCCACAGCTGAAATAGTTGTGGCAGGATGACTGTAAGTCTGGGCGAGATGGAGCGCAGAAGGAAAAGTCATGTTAGCAGCTTTCTGTGCCGCGTGAGCTCAGGAATGGTATTGATTAGTAGGCTGCAGCCCTCAATCATTTTCTGGAAAATGTTTCACCGTTCTCGACCCCAAACACCCAGCCGCCATTTTGTTTCGCTGTTGACGACGTGGGTTGGGAGTTTCAGCCGGAGCGCGGCCCTGATTAGAAACGGATGTCGGAGAGAAAACAACTTGAGCTGTTACTTTTCACCGGAACGCAAACACACGGAGCACACGGAAACGCTTCATGTGGCTTTCTCTGCGTTCGCGCTCATGTGCATATGAGTCTCCCCGTGAGTGTGTGAGCAGACAACTTCTTTTTAAAGCTCTGAATTTCGAAACCCTGTTATTATGGCTTGCGTTCTGCCAAAGCCTCATTACATTCCTTAGACTGTAGATTCTTGTCTGTAAGCTTCTCCCCAGGCCTGATTCTCCCATGTTTAACAAAAGCCCCAGGTCTCATGGCAATAATCAAGACTCTTAATGCATCTGCCTCAGTAAAGGTTCAGTACGCAGGAATTTCCAGCAACACAAAAAGTGTTCAACCGAGGCTTTGACACTGTGTTCATAGCACGGCCTGCAGCGGCGTGAGGTCAGGCCGAGTATTCAGTGATGATGTTTCTGAAATGATTTCAAAAATCATTTGAAAAGAAAAGTGTTGAAAAGTTACTAGGTCATTGGAGCAAAGTTAATGTGAAACTAGCGGCGCTCACTACCAGTCCTCTGACGATGACCCGGCCCTGCACATCTGGCCCCAGTGAGGTAATAGCACCTTTGAAATGCAGTGAGATTATACAGAGCGCTTTAAACACTTCCTGTTCCCCCCCCCCCTCTCTCTTTCTCTCCTTCTCCCTCTCTCTCCCTCTCTCTCCCTCTGTCTCCCTTTTAAAGAAGGGAGTCTCACCTAGACAGAAAGTGTTAATTACGGTTCCTCGCAGCTGCCATGCTCACCACTTACTGGGCGTGCTGACACTTGCCAGTACACAGGGGATCCACACTCTCAGAGGGGATTATGGGCCGATGAGCAGGGCATGCTGGGAAAGAGCGACTTTTTTCATTCTGCGTGTTTCCACCTTCTTTACCTTCTTACGTTTTTTTTTTTCTGTGTGTTTTTTTAAACTTTCTTAAAGCCACATTTCCCTTTTCTGGGCGACATTTTTTTTCTCGTCCGTTGCTGTCATGGTAAAGTATAATTGTGCTAGCATGCAGGCCTTCGAACCGTGCCTGGAACAGACCATTGAGTAAGCATTTAGGTGGTTTTTCAGAGGCCAAAAGCAGCTCGCTCCTTCTGCTCCTCTGCAGATCCCACCCTCTCCTCAGTAATTACAGGCTGCACCGGGGCCTCTCTGACGTACGAAAAAGGATTTATTTTAGTGAGTTTCCACAGAGGTTAAAAGAATGGCACAGTGAACACACGCACATGGGTACATACACACACACACACACACAAACATGACTACACACACCCCAGAGTTCAGTCCTGACAGCATTTATCAACAGCATATTCCTGCATATGAGCATTTACAGATGTTTCTGTTGATCCTGTCACAGTTGTCACTTGGTCGCAGGGAGAAACCTGAAGACGGGGCGGAGCCGCGATATCAAGGAAAACATTTAATATCCTTTGTTTTGTTTGATATTGTGAGAAGAACTCACTCTAATCTAATAAAGTTGCTTTGCAGGCTGTAATCAAATCCCTCCGCGTCCTCTACCTAAAAACCCGGACTGTTTCGCGGAGGGCTGCAGAGCGAGGAGCCGCGCCGTGTGTTTGCGGTGACTCTACGTAGTTCCTTTCAAACCGTGACTCTTTAAAACCACATGTTTATACAGTTTGTTCATACACAACGCATTAAGTTAACAATGACTTTTATGTATTGCGAGAAACAATCCCCATTAAAGTATGTAATGCTTGTTGATCTGCCCAAGAACTCAAAGAAAAAAAAAAAAAAACTGTTTCCACAAGCCCAGTTTGTCCCTTTAGAAAGAGGGTTTTTTCTTTTTTTTTCCAAGGGGCTATAAAAAAGAAGATCTAGGAACGCAGCCTTCCTTTTTTTTCTGCAGGGCTCCTAATATGTTCCATATTGTGAGTTTAAATGGGGTGGACTCAGGAAATGCAGTCACACTGCTTTGCCTTCCAAGCTTCCAGTCTGAGGTTTGGCCTGCAGTGCTGGTGGTTCTGTGGAGCGGGGCTGATTGGACCGCTGGAGCTGCCGAGGTGGTTGGGCTCAGCCATGTGGGCTTTCTTTCTCCCCTCCTCAGGAGCCAAGATGTCCACGTCGATGGTTCTGTTTGTTATGTTTCCCGGCCTGCACTGGAGTGCCAGTTCCATGTACATTGTACATTAGTGATTCTCATTCAGCCCTTGTCTCGGTCTTAAGAGCTTTTCAGTCAAAGCTGAAAGAAAGTCAGGATGTAAAAAAAGAGAGAGAGAGAGAGAGAGAGAGAGAGAGGAGTCAGGAATGCTATTGATGCATGATATTTTGTAATGGAAAACGTTGCTGTTTAAATGCAAACACAGGCTGGAAGAATCCTTTATTCCAGATAAGAGCTCGGACTCCTCCCTGCCTGCAGCGCACTGGGTCAAATTAGGTTTGTGGAGACAACATGACGACGAGCAACTGCGTGTTTTTGTCTGAGAGCAGCCTTGTCTCCAAGTTGTCTGTTTTAAAGTTTGCTTTTCCAAACCACAAAGAATTCATTTGCATAACAACCTCTGATGAAATACACAAAGCGAGCATTACACACACACACATGGCTTCTTCACTGGAGTGAGATGTCACAGATGAGACGCTGACCCAGAAGATGGGACAGAAGTGAATCATAAGGGTACGGACTGGAACAGATTTATTTAATTAAAGTTTTTATTTATTACAATGCTAACGCTTCAGCATCAGCCCCATTGATTTTTAAGACGTAAGATGTATTATATATATTTTAAAATGTATTTCTATATATGTATATATTTATGCATATATAAATATATATTTATTTAAAAATGTTAATGTTGTAGTAGAAATACTTCTTAAATCCTTTTTAATAAATGTTATTGTGGGGTTAACAAAGCATTGACACTGTGTCACTGAGCCGTTGTTTTCCTCAGTAGTTGTGTTTTTATAGCAGTTCCACAGTGACTGAGATCCTTTTCATGCCGTGAATGTGCTTCCCAGATGGTTCTTTGCGGAGGATCACAGTCCTGTTCTGAAGGATGAATGGTTTTTTTCCCCCTCGGTGGAATAGATTATTACACAGGTGAGAGGACAACATATCACATTTGGACACGTCTCCACGTCCGACTGTCTCTCTCCTGGGTTGATCAGCGTCATCTCCCTCACCTCTGATTCTCTGTTCATCAGCGCCACTCGTCTCACCTGGTGTATATAAACCACGCCCCCCTCACTCTGTCACTGTTGGGTCGTTGTATGTGATCCTGGTTCCTGTTGTCCTGTCCATGAAGCCAACTCCAGGTCTGTCTCCTGGTATTTTACTCTTGTTTTGCGCTTCTCCTTGTCTTTCTGTCTGCTCCATGTTTCCTCGTTTTGGGGTTGATTTGCTGGTTTATTAAAGTCTG